AATTTAATATATAAATATTTTGATCACTTCTCTGTTTAACATAAACTCCAATGCATACCTTAGGGGAAATACTTTGGAATTGAAAATTGAATCTCTAGAAAGTTGGGTATTTCCTCCTGAGACTATACTTGCAATACCAGTTTTCACCACCATGTGTCAGTAGTACTTCCTGCAGCATAGTTATCCTACTAGTTTTATTTTTTAGTTGCACATGTTTTACTGAGTTAAAACTTTTCAATGAAAATAAGACATTAAATGTTTTTGTATTTCCTTAGGACCACAGGGAAACTACTGTGCAAAAACCAATTTACTCTTCCCATCCTAGCTGCTTCTAAGAATTCCCACAGGGAGGCTTTTATATAACTGATGTTTAGCATAACTGTCACTTTCGCTTATGTCTACTAATGAGTCCTAAAAATGCTTTCCAAAATGTTTTATTTTTCTTTGCAAAGAGCAGGATGAAAAGCTTTTGACGCTGGATTATTTTTGCCTTTTTTATACTCTAATTCAAATAAAATTTTACATTGCCTGGCACAAATTTTTTAACCTAACAGATTGTGATGAACATTCCTAAACAGAGGTGGCAAATGCATTTCATCATATATGCCAGTGATAATCTATTACAATGGCTGCCTGGATTACAGCATTAAGAAGGATTAGTAGTGTCTGTCAAGAGTGTGGAGCTGGGAATTTGTGATGTGTGCCAGTTATTTGTCAGCCATATCCTTGATTTTATCTGATACCAAAATCCATAAATTATATTTAAGAACATAAAAAAATTAAAATATATCTTAGGAATACATTGGGCATAAACATCCTGTTATCTAAGAATCTAAAGAGTCATTCTGCACCTCCACGCATGATGATTAAATAGCTCAAGAAGCCTTCTAGAAGCACTTTAGTCTAATCAAAACAAGTGGTTAAAATATGCACTATGTCTATTGCTTTTGATTTTTGATTATCACACTCCTGGATACCAGGACTGCACTAAAGAATTCAGCTCAAAGATATGGAGTGATTCTTCATCTACATTTCAGAAAGAGCCAGCACTTTAGGTATAATTAATGTCCAAGGAATAAAACTGGATACAACACAATGATACAGAGGTAGATTTTTAAAAATAGCTTAGACACTATAGTGACTTGTAAAACACAGATGTTCAGAATCAAAGTAACAGCTCCTAAGAGAGAAAACTGAAAAAGAATAATTTGTTTTTACCTCATTGGAAACACCAGGAGAATGATCTTGAACATAGTCCAGAGCCTTTTTAGGAGGCTGGGTGTAGGTGCACCACATAAGCAGAAGTGTAGAGATGGAATGGAGGAGAATCAATGGCAGCAAGGAATGAACATGTGGAAAAGGTGACAACAGTTAGAAATTGAGTGCCGACAGCATCAGATACACATAAAGAGTGACATGAATGGAGCAAAATGGGGGTAGTCTAAGAGGAAGAGTGCTATGTTCATAAATATTCTCAAGCACTGGGCAAAATTACTAGTGATTTGATTAGTATATTTATAAACTCATTTCATCAAATCAAATTAGCACTCCTAGTCTCTAGCCACAGAGGAATGCAAGGTATATTAAAGAAACACTAAAGGAGCAAGTGGATAGCATGCGGGTGAGTTTCCATGTGTGGCTGAAAATGATTACAGTAAAACCTTGGATTGCGAGTAATGTGGTTTGCGAGTGGTCCGCAAGACGAGGAAACATCTCTAATACATNTAAAGAAAAATAACTGGGTATAGAGGGATAGCAAAGGGAAGAATTTCTCAGTCTGTAAAGGAATCCAGATTTATTTCACTTGATTTTTATAAATTCTCGAATATGATTATATAAAATGATACAGAAACAAAATAAAATAACTTTATGAAGTATGGTGCCTAAAATAGAAACAAGTGACATATAATCCTCATTACTCTTTCACTAAAAAGAAGCCACTGATACAGAATATTCTGGTTGCATAATGTAATAAGATTCTTACCTAGTGGGTCTTTCCAAGCTTCTATCTATAGAGGATTGATATAAGGAAGCCTGTTAAGATAGAATAATAATACCATGAAAAATTTTACCACAGCAAAATTTCATTAGTCTGTGAACATTAAATTCCTAAAAAGAATTTTGTAAAAATTGAGATTAAAAGTACCACTTATTATGATCATAAAAAATGTCTTCCCAAAGAGATATCATGAAACCTAATTTTTACTTTCTTCCTATCTACTTTCTCTTCTGATATGCTGTACTGTATTTCTCTGTTTTACTCCAATTATTTAGGACATAGACATCACCTGGGTGAAAAAAGATAAATCAATAACCACTCCTTCGTGGAGGAAATTGATGTAAGTAGAAATTTCTTACATAAAGGAATGGTTTGATGTTTAAAAAAAAATTGTAGTCATCATTCAATCCTTATAAATCATTAACCTTCTTTATAAGTTTTTATCATGTTACCAGGTGTTATCTTTAAAACCTAAAGTTTAAGCAGAACTTGAGACATCTTTTATCTGTCAACATACACATGACACTTTAATAAAAATCACAGAATTTGTTTGGAATTATACTGACCTACTGGTACTTAAATCAGGCACAGATTTATATCTTTCAAATAGTTAAATTTGGGGTTACTTTAAAATAAATCATTTCATGAACCAACATATAGCTTTTTTTTAAAGTCAATTTTTAACATTTTCATCAGAAAATCAACTCTTAGTTGTCCATTGTTGCAGGAACAAAAAAAAAAATAGAAAATGTAAATTGATAAATAGTTCCAGATTCTTATAGTACACACCATCATCCTACTCCTTATTCTGAACAGTACAATGAAACAGATATTAAGCAAAAATGTTGCATAAGAGTTTTTCACTTCCCATGGCCATCTACTGGAATAATTGCTAAAATACATAAAGGCAATGGAGGGTCAGTATTGAACTCTAGAATGTTTGAGGTGACACTGCAAGGTGAAAGTAGTTGTGGTATGATGTCTAGAATGTATACGAAAATGTATACTAATGTGGTGATTAATTATTTATCACAAATAAACTGTGGTCTGATGGAAAACTAAAATTCTAGTTTGAAAATGTTCTATATGAAAGTTTGTAAATCTCTGCTAAAAAGGCAGAATTTGACAAATTTTATCTTAAGTTCCTAGGACACAGAAACATTTTACCAGAGTGCTAAAAACCTACTTAGTGGAAATTAAATCACACTTTAAGAACTATTTCTATAACTTTAGTTTCTATTTGTAAATTAACACCAATTAACTAGTTAAAATATTAGCATATAATTTTGAGATTCTTTATGCAAATCAGTCTGACAAGTCCCTTTATGCATAATTCTAAAATTGCTTCCATTAACTAATATTTTAATTTAATTCCATTTTACTGAGTGAGAATGGAATCTTGTCCAGAAACAAACAAAAATATCCTCTGCAAGAGGATATTTCTTCCATTTTGAACAGAAAAGCATATTCTAATATTTTTAGTTCCTAAAAA